GGTTTGGGGGGGTTCAGGAGGGATTCGGGGGGTCCAGGAGGGATTTGGGGGGTCCCAGGGGGTCCCAGAGTTTTGGGGGCTCCACGGGTTTAGGGGGTGTCAGGAGGGATTGGGGGGGTCAGGAAGGATTTGGGGGTCCCACAGGTTTTGGGGTGTCAGGAGAGTTTCGGGGGGCTCAGGAGGGATTTGGGGGTCCCATTGGATTGGGTCAGGGGCAATTTTAGGGTCAGGGGTGTCAGGAGGGATTTAGGGGAGTCCCACAGGTTTGGGGGTGTCAGGAGGGATTTGGGGGGTCCATGGGGTCTGGAGGGGTTTGGGAGGATCAGGGGAGGGTTTGGGGGGTCTCAGGGAGGAATTTGGGGGTCCAGGGGGGTCAGAGGGATTTGGGGGGTCCCGGGTGGATTGAGTGGTGGGGACTGAATTGGGGGTCAGGGAGGTCCTACGAGGTTGGGGGTCCTGAGAGGGTCCCACAGGTTTTGGGGTGTCATGAGGGATTCAGGGGTCAGGATTGGAATTTGGGGTCAGGGGTCTCAGGAGAGGGATTCGAGAGGTCCCAGGTTTAGGGGCTCAGGAGGGGAATTTGGGGGGCCCAGGGCTCAGAGGAATTTGGGGTCCCGAAGAGGAGAGGGTCCCAAAACTCACGTGTCCCCGATCCTCGTCCTGGCGGGTGGCGGCGGCGATGGCGGCGGCCAAGTGGGGGTCGTGGATGGGGAGGAGGGCGCGTGGGGGAGGGGCGCCAGGGGTGCAAGGGGGCTCCCCGGCGCCCTCCCAATTCCAGCCCTCCCTCCCAGCAGGGGAACAACCTGGGGGAAAACGGGGAGGAGTCAGAGGTCAAAGGGGGGACCCAAAATCCCAAAATTAAGGAGTGGGGAGGGGGAGGGGCAGGGTCTCACCTGTATAAAGCAGGGGAGGGAGCTCGAAACCCTCCCCCACCCCGAGGGGCTTCCCGGGGGTCCCGACTCCGTCGAGGAGGGGGAGGGGTCCTTTGCCCCTCCCCTCCCCAAAAAAAGCGAAGCGCCGCTTCCGCAGGGGCAGCAGAAGTCTCAGAGGTGGGGAGGGGCCCCGAGTTGGGAGGTCCAGGGGAGTCTGGGGGTTCTCCTGGTGCGCAGATCCACGGGCAGCTCCTCCGTCATTTTTTGGGGAGGGGGTGATTTTTATTGGGGAGGGGTAGGACTCCCAAAAATAAATAATTGGGTGTCTTTTCCCCTCCCCCGCAGGAGACGCCGCGGGAGCGGAAGGAGAGAGGGAATCCTGACGTGGGGTGGAGTGGGGGAGGGGCGAGGTAGCCCCTCCCCCTCAAAAAGCCACGCCCTTTCGGTTGGACACGCCCCCTAAAAATAAAAATAATAAAAATGAAAAGATTCAGCTCTTTTTTCCCCATTAAAAAATAATAATTGGGGTTTGTAAAAGCCCCAAACCCTCAAAATTCCATTCCCAAATCCCCCTGGAGCCCTCCCGAACACACCTTGACCCCTCCCCAGACCCCCAAAAATCTTCCCCAGACCCCAAAATCCTCAAAATGCCCCTAAAATCGTCCCAAAATCTCCATAAAATCCCCCAAGACCCCAAAATCTTACCCCCAAATCCCCCAAATCCCCAAAATCTCCCAAATCCCCAAGATCCCTCAAAATCCCTCAGGATCCCCAAGATCTGACCTAAATCCCCAAAACTCCAGTCTCTAAAAATCTTAGTTCCCCAGATACAGAGTCTCCGGTCATCAGGTCCACAAGGTCATTTAAAATCCTAGATCTTTATCAGATCCAGAGTCTTAAGATCAGTCGTTAGGACCCCAGAGTCTGTCTAGGCCCCAGGTTCTTAGTCCAGGTTCTTTAGTCTTTGGGTCTAGTCAAGTTCAGAGTCTAGATCTAGTCCCAGACCAGCAAGATCCCCTCTTTCCCAGGCACTGGGCCACGCCCACCTCCCTTGGCCGCCCACCCTTCGCGCCCAGCTGCCGACAGACAAAGCCACGCCCCCTCTGGGAAAGCCACGCCCACTGGGCGGTCCCGGAGCCTTTTGGGGACATTTTGGGGTCATTTTTGGGGACATTTTGGGGACATATTTGGGGACATTTTGGGTACATTTTTGGGGACAATTTGGGGACATTTTTGGGGACACTTTTGGGGGCATTGGGGACACTTTTGGGGGCATTTTTGGGGACACTTTGGGGACACTTTGGGGACACTTTGGGGTCATTTTTGGGGACACTTTTGGGGACATTTTTGGGGACATTTGGGGACATTTTTGAGGACACTTTGGGGTCATTTTTGGGGACATTCTTGGGGACATTTTGGGGACATTTTGGGGTCATTTTTGGGGACACTTTGGGGACACTTTGAGGACATTTTTGGGGACACTTTGGGGACATTTTGGGGACACTTTTGGGGACAATTTGGGGACATTTTGGGGACACTTTGGGGACATTTTGGGGACACTTTGGGGACATTTTTGGGGACATTTTTGGGGACACTTTGGGGACATTTTGGGGACATTTTTGGGGACACCGGGGGTGGTTTTGGGGACACTTCGGCACGGGGAGAAGGGGGAGGGGCGGGGCTTCTTTAAACCACGCCCTTCCTTGTGACGTCACGGGCGCCGCGGTGGGCGGAGAAAGAGCCGAAAAACGAGAGAAATAAGGAGCGAAAAAGGGGTCGAAAAAGGGAGGAAAAAGGGGCGAAAGAGGGACAAAAGAGGGGTGGAAAAAGGACCCAAAAAGGGGCAAAAAACGGACAAAAAAGGGACAAAAAGGGTTGGAAAAAGGTCCGAAAAAGGGGCAAAAAAGGGACAAGAAAGGGGTGGAAAAAAGGACCGAAAAAGGGGTGCAAAAAAGGACCGAAAAAAGGGTGGAAAAAGGGGTGGAAAAAGGACCGAAAAAGGGACAAAAAAGGGATGAAAAAAGGACCCAAAAAGGGACAAAAAGGGGGCTAAAAAAGGGGCTGAAAAAAGGGTGAAAAGGGATAACAAAGGGTAAAAAAAGACTCAAAAATAGGCTGAAAAAGGGATGAAAAAGGAGCTCAAAAAGGACCCAAAAATGGTGTGAAAAAGGGTAAAAAAGGATCCAAAAAAAGACTGAATAAAGACCCAAAAAGAGGCTGAAAAAGGGTGAAAAAGGATCCTAAAAAAAAGGACTAAAAAGGGACCCAAAAAGGGTAAAAAAGGACCCCAAAAAAGGACTAAAAAGGGACCAAAAAGGGGCTGAAAAAGGACCCGAAAATGGACCCAAAAGTGGACTAAAAAAAAGGTGAAAAGGGACCCAAAAAAGAGCTGAAAAAGGACCTGAAAAGGAGGTGGAAAAACGGTAAAAAAGGGACCAAAAAGGGACCTAAAAAGGGACCCAAAAAGGGACCAAAAAGGGACCCAAAAAAGGACTAAAAAAAGACTCAAAAAGGGGCTGAAAAAGGACCCAAAAAGGGTAAAAAAGGACCCCAAAAAGGGACCAAAAAGGGACCCAAAAAGGGTAAAAAAGGACCCTAAAAAAAAGTGAAAAAGGACCCAAAAATGGACTGAAAAAGGACCCCAAAAAGGACTAAAAAGGGACCCCAAAAGAGTAAAAAAGGGACCCAAAAAGAACCCTAAAAAGGGCTCGAAAAACGACTCGAAAAGAGGTTGAAAAAGGTTAAAAAAACCACCCAAACAAACAAACAAAAAAGGGACAAAAAAAAAGACCCAAAAAAGGTTAAAAAAGACCCAAAAAGGGTAAAAAAAGAGACCCCAAAAAGGAGTAAAAAAGGGGACCGGGAACACCCGAAAGGCTCCGGAAACACCCGGAAATTCACGGAAATACCCGAATATTGACGGAAATAACCGAAAATTCACGGAAACACCCGAAAATTCACGGAAAACTCCGAAGGTCTCCGGAAACTCCCGAAAGGCTCCCAAACCACCCGAATTTTACCGGAAACTGCCGAATTTTACCGGAAACTCCCGAAAGGGGGGCTCCGGAAAGAGCCGAAGGTTGGCGGGAAGAGCCGAAGCCCCCGCCATGGAGGTCGCGGGGTTCCCGCTGCTCCTCGGGCTCCTCCAGGGTGAGTTTTTGGGACCCCCTCCCCCCCCCTTCCCGATTTTGGGACCCCCCCCTCAATTTTCGGGACCCCCTCGATGTCGTCGAGACCTTTTTTTGTCGTCTGGACCCCCTCGTCGTGACGTAGGACCCCCTCCCGCGTGAGGTGGTTTGGGCCAGCTCCGACCCCCTTTACGGTGTTATTTGGAATCTTCCCCCACTTTTGGTCACGTGGGAGGCCCAAAATGTCCCCAAAATGTCCCCAAATGTCCCCAAAATGTCCCCAAATGTCACCTGGGACCCCCAAATTGTCACCTGGGACCCCCCAAATGTCACCTGGGACCCCCAAAATGTCACCTGGGACCCCCAAAATGTCCCCAAATTGTCCCAAATTGTCCCCAAATGTCACCTGGGACCCCCAAAATGTCCCCAAATTGTCCCAAATTGTCCCCAAATGTCACCTGGGACCCCCAAAATGTCACCTGGGACCCCCAAATTGTCCCCAAATTGTCCCGAAATGTCACCTCGGACCCCCAAAATGTCACCTGGGACCCCCAAATTGTCCCTAAATTGTCCCCAAATGGCACCTGGGACCCCCAAAATGTCCCCAAATGTCCCCAAATGTCACCTGGGACCCCCAAATTGTCACCTGGGACCCCCAAAATGTCCCCAAATTGTCCCCAAATGTCACCTGGGACCCCCAAAATGTCACCTGGGACCCCCAAAATGTCCCCAAATGTCCCCAAATGTCCCTAAAATGTCACCTGGGACCCCCAAATTGTCCCCAAATTGTCCCCAAATGTCCCAAATGTCACCTGGGACCCCCAAAATGTCCCAAAATGTCCCCAAATTGTCCCAAATGTCACCTGGGACCCCCAAAATGTCCCCAAATTGTCCCCAAATTGTCCCCAAATGTCACCTGGGACCCCCAAATTGTCCCCAAATGTCCCCAAATGTCACCTGGGACCCCCCCAATGTCACCTGGGACCCCCAAAATGTCCCCAAATTGTCCCCAAATTGTCCCCAAATGTCACCTGGGACCCCCAAATTGTCCCCAAATGTCACCTGGGACCCCCAAATTGTCCCCAAATGTCCCCAAATGTCACCTGGGACCCCCAAATGTCCCCAAATTGTCCCCAATGTCACCTGGGACCCCAAATTGTCCCAAATTGTCCCCAAATGTCCCAAATGTCACCTGGGACCCCCAAAATGTCCCAAAATGTCCCCAAATTGTCCCAAATGTCACCTGGGACCCCCAAAATGTCCCCAAATTGTCCCCAAATTGTCCCCAAATGTCACCTGGGACCCCCAAATTGTCCCCAAATGTCCCCAAATGTCACCTGGGACCCCCCCAATGTCACCTGGGACCCCCAAAATGTCCCCAAATTGTCCCCAAATTGTCCCCAAATGTCACCTGGGACCCCCAAATTGTCCCCAAATTGTCCCCAAACGTCATCTGGGACCCCCAAAATGTCCCCAAATGTCCCCAAATTGTCCCCAAATGTCCCCAAATGTCACCTGGGACCCCCAAAATGTCACCTGGGACCCCCAAAATGTCCCCAAATGTCCCCAAATGTCACCTGGGACCCCCAAAATGTCCCCAAATGTCACCTGGGACCCCCAAAATGTCCCCAAATGTCCTCAAATGTCACCTGGGACCCCCAAAATGTCCCCAAATGTCCCCAAATATCACCTGGGACCCCCAAATTGTCCCCAAATGTCCCCAAATTGTCCCCAAATTGTCCCCAAAATGTCCCCAAATGTCACCTGGGACCCCCAAATTGTCCCCCAATGTCACCTGGGACCCCCAAATTGTCCCCAAATGTCCCCAAAATGTCACCTGGGACCCCCAAAATGTCCCCAAATGTCACCTGGGACCCCCAAAATGTCACCTGGGACCCCCAAATTGTCCCCAAATTGTCCCCAAATGTCCCCAAAGTCACCTGGGACCCCCAAATTGTCCCCAAATGTCCCCAAATGTCACCTGGGACCCCCCCAAATGTCATCTGGGACCCCCAAAATGTCCCCAAATGTCCCCAAATGTCACCTGGGACCCCCAAAATTTTGTGTTGAATTTTGGGTGAATTTTGGGGTGAATTTTGTGTAAATTTGGGGTGAATTTTGGGTGAATTTTGTGTAAATTTTGGTTGAATTTTGGTGGATTTTGGGTGAATTTTGGGTGAATTTTGGGGGTGAAATTTGAGTAAATTTTGGACCTGAATTTTGTGTAAATTTGGGGTGAATTTTGGGTGAATTTTGTGTAAATTTTGGTTGAATTTTGGGGTGGATTTTGGGTGAATTTTGGGGGTGAAATTTGTGTCAATTTTGAGTGAATTTGGGGTGAATTTTGGGTGGATTTTGGGGTGGATTTTTGGTGAATTTTGGGGGTGAAATTTGAATAAATTTTGGGTGAATTTTGAGTGGATTTTGAGTAAATTTTGGTTGAATTTTCTGTGAATTTTGGGTGAATTTTGTTGAGGTTTTGGGTGATCTTTGGGGGTGAAATTTGAGTAAATTTGGGGTGAATTTTGGGGGTGAATTTTGAGTGGATTTTGAGTGAATTTTGAGTGAAGTTTGGGGGTGAATTTTATATAAATTTTGTGTGAATTTTGGGTGAATTTTAGGCAAATTTTATTTGAATTTTGGGTGAATTTCGGGTGGATTTTTGTTGAATTTTGGGTTGAAATTTTATGTTGAATTTTGGGTGAATTTTGGGTTGAATTTTGGTCAAATTTTGAGCGAATTTTACACAAATTTTAAGTGAATTTTATGCAAATTTCGCTCAAATTTCGCTCAAATTTCGCCCGAATTTTGTAGAAATTTCGCGAAAAATTCAATTTTTCATTTCCAACCCGTTTTTTCCCTTTTTCCCCCCAAAAATCAAAGTTCTGGGGGCCCAGGGGGGTTGTGTGGAGGTGGCTTCGGGCACCGAGGCCGTGCTGGGGGGGATTTGGGGTTGAATTTGGGGGAAATTTTGGGTCAATTTTGGATGAATTTTGTGTAAATTTGGAGTGAATTTGGGGTGGATTTTGTTGAGATTTTGGGATGAATTTTAGAGGGATTTTTGGTTGAATTTTGAATGGGTTTGGGGGTGATTTTTGTGTAAATTTGGAGTGAATTTTGGGTGGATTTTGTGGGAGTTTTGGGGCGGATTTTGGTCAAAATTTTGAGTGAATTTTCTGCGAATTTTGGGGTGAATTTTCTGCAAATTTTGGGTGAATTTGGGGGAAATTTTCCTTAAATTTTCCTTCGATTCTGAGCGAATTTTAAGGGATTTTAATGGGAATTTTAGGTGGAATTTTGAGCGAATTTCAAGTGAATTTTGCTCAAATTTCGCTCGAATTTCGCCCAAATTTCACCCGAATTTTGTAGAAATTTCGGGAAAAATTCAATATTTTCATTTCCAACCCATTTTTTCCCTTTTCCCCCCAAAAATGAAAGTTTTGGGGGCCCAGGGGGGTTGTGTGGAGGTGGCTTCGGGCACCGAGGCCGTGCTGGGGGCCCCGTTCCGGCTCCTCTGCATCGCCTGCAAACGGCGCAGCGAGACCCCTGCTGAGGCTGAGAGCGAGTGGTTCTTCCGCCCTGAGGGGGCCCCCACCTTCCAGAAGGTCACTGGGATGGACTGGGAGGGACTGGGAGGCACTGGGAATCACTGGGATAAACTGGGAGCCACTGGGAGCAGATTGGGGGGCACTGGGATAAACTGGGTTAAACTGGGAGGGAGTCGAAGGGTGATCACGGGGCACTGGGAGGGGATTGGGAGGCACTGGGAGGGGATTGGGGGGCACTGGGATGGACTGGGAAGCACTGGGAATCACTGGGATAAACTGGGAGACACTGGGAGCAGATTGGGATGGACTGGGAGGGCACTGGGATGGACTGGGAGGGCACTGGGAGAGACTGGTGAGACCCCCGCCGAGGCCCAGAGCGAGTGGTTCTTCCGCCCTGAGGGGGTCCCCACCTTCCAGAAGGTCACTGGGATGAACTGGGATAAACTGGGAGCCACTGGGAGCCACTGGGATAAGCTGGGAGCCAATTGGAATAAACTGGGAGCCACTGGGACGGAGTGGGAGGGAGTCGAAGGGTGATCACGGGGCACTGGGAGGGGATTGGGAGGCACTGGGAGGGACTGGGAGGGGATTGAGGGGCACTGGGATGGACTGGGAGGCACTGGGAATCACTGGGATAAACTGGGAGCCACTGGGAGCAGATTGGGGGGCACTGGGATGGACTGGGAGGGAGTGGGAGGTTGATAAAGGGGCACTGGGAGGGGATTGGGAGGCACTGGGAGGGGATTGAGGGGCACTGGGATGGACTGGGAGGGGATTGGGAGGGACTGGGAGGGACTGGGAGCAAGTGAGAGGGACTGGGAGCTACTGGTGGATGTTGGGAGACACTGGGGAGCTACTGGTGGATGTTGGGAGACACTGGGGAGCTACTGGTGGATACTGGGAGACACTGGGGAGCTACTGGTGGATACTGGGAGACACTTGGGAGCTACTGGTGGATACTGGGAGTTACTAAGAGCTACTGGGATGCACTGGGAGCTACTGGGAACTATTAATGAGAGGCTGCAGTTCCCAAAGTGACCACTGGGTGGCGATAGAGAGAAATGGATTCCAACTGGTTTTTTACTGGTTTTAACTGGTATTTACTGGCTCCTCGTGCCCAGATCCTGCACTACAACCCCGAGGAGAAGCAGCCCTGGGTGGCCCTGGGCCCTTTTCTGGGGGTTACTGGGAGTTACTGGGGAACCACTGGGGAGTTACTGGTGGATACTGGGAGACACTGGGGAGACACTGGGGAGCTACTGGTGGATACTGGGAGACACTGGGGAGCTACTGGAGCTACTGGGGGATACTGGGAGTTATTAAGAGCTACTGGGATGCACTGGGAGTTACTGGGAGTCATTGGGAGCTACTGGGAACTGTTAATGAGAGGGTGTAATTCCTGAAGTGACCACCGGGTGGCGACAGAGAGATAGCGATTTTATATTGGTTTTTTATTGGTTCTAACTGGTTTTAACTGGTATTTACTGGTCTCTCGTGCCCCAGATCCTGCACTACAACCCCGAGGAGGAGCAGCCCTGGGTGGCCCCGGGCCCTTTCCTGGGGGTTACTGGGAACCACTGGGGGATACTGGGAGCCACCGGGGAGACACTGGGGAGCTACTGGGATTGTACTGGGAGATACTGAGGGATACTGGGAGACATTGGGGAGCCACTTGGGAGCTACTGGGGGATACTGGGAGCTACTGGGACCTACTAGGAGGCACTGGGAGCTACCGGGAAGACGTTGTAATTCCCGAAGTGACCACCGGGTGGCGACAGAGAGACACAGATGTTATATTGATATTATACTGGTTTTTTACTGGTTTTAACTGGTATTTACTGGCTCCTCGTGCCCAGATCCTGCACTACAACCCCGAGGAGGAGCAGCCCTGGGTGGCCCCGGGCCCTTTCCTGGGGGTTACTGGGAGTTACTGGGGAACCACTGGGGAGCTGCTGGGGCTGGTACTGGGAGCTACTAGTGGATACTGGGGGACACTGGGGAGCCACTTGGGAGCTACTGGGGGATACTGGGAGTTACTAAGAGCTACTGGGATGCACTGGGACTCACTGGGAGTAACTGGGAAGACGTTGCAGTTCCGAAAGTGACCACTGGGTGGCGATAGAGAGAAATGGATTCAAACTGGTTTTTTATTGGTTTTAACTGATTCTAACTGGTTTTAACTGGTATTTACTGGCTCCCCGTGCCCCAGATCCTGCACTACAACCCCGAGGAGGAGCAGCCCTGGGTGGCCCCGGGCCCTTTCCTGGGGGTTACTGGGACTTACTGGGGAACCACTGGGGATCTACTGGTGGATACTGGGGAGTTACTGGTGGATACTGGGAGACACTTGGGAGCTACTGGGGGATACGGGGAGACACTGGGGAGCTACTGGAGCTACTGGGGGATACTGGGAGTTATTAAGAGCTACTGGGATGCACTGGGAGTTACTGGGAGTCATTGGGAGCTACTGGGAACTGTTAATGAGAGGGTGCAATTCCCAAAGTGACCACTGGGTGGCGACAGAGAGATAGCGATTTTATATTGGTTTTTTATTGGTTCTAACTGGTTTTAAGTGGTATTTACTGGTTCCCCGTGCCCCAGATCCTGCACTACAACCCCGAGGAGGAGCAGCCCTGGGTGGCCCCGGGCCCTTTCCTGGGGGTTACTGGGAACCACTGGGGCATGCTGGGAGACACTGGGGAGACACTGGGGAGCTACTGGTGGATACTGGGAGACACTGGGGAGCTACTGGAGCTACTGGGGGATACTGGGAGTTATTAAGAGCTACTGGGATGCACTGGGAGTTACTGGGAGTCATTGGGAGCTACTGGGAACTGTTAATGAGAGGGTGCAATTCCCAAAGTGACCACTGGGTGGCGACAGAGAGATAGCGATTTTATATTGGTTTTTTATTGGTTCTAACTGGTTTTAACTGGTATTTACTGGTTCCCCGTGCCCAGATCCTGCACTACAACCCCGAGGAGGAGCAGCCCTGGGTGGCCCCGGGCCCTTTCCTGGGGGTGCTGAGCTGGAACGGCTCGAAGGGCACGCGGGACCTGCAGGACCTGTCGGTGGCGCTGAGCGAGGTCGGCCACGCCCACGCCGGGCTCTACGTGTGCCGCCTGCGCCGCAACCTCACCTTCGAGGGCTACACCTACAGCCTGGCCCGCAACCAGACCCTGCGCCTCGCCGTCGTCGACAAGGGTACTGCCAGGGCACTGGGAGGGACTGGGAGGGACTGGGAGAGGATTGGGAGGGAGTGAGAGGCAGTGGGAGGGAGTTGGAGGGGAGTGGGAGGCACTGGGAGGGACTGGGAGGGAGTTGGAGGAGGTTGGAGCAGAGTTGGAGGGAATGGGAGGGACTGAGAGAGGATTGAGATGCACTGGGAGAGGATTGGGAGGGACTGGGAGGGGATTGGGATGCACTGGGAGGGACTGGGAGGGGATTGGGGGGCACTGGGAGATGATTGTGATGGACTTGGAGGATTGGGATGGACTGGGAGGGACTGGGAGGGGATTGGGGGGCACTGGGAGATGATTGTGATGGACTTGGAGGGGATTGGGATGGACTGGGAGGTGATTTAGGGGCACCGGGGTGGACTGGGAGGGGAATGAGAGAGAGTAGGAAGGGACTGGGAGAGGACTGGGAAGGACTGGGAGGAGGATTGGGAGGCACTGGGATGGACTGGGAGGGGATTGGGGGGACACTGGGAGGATTGGGATGCACTGGGATGGACTGGGAGGGGATTGGGGGGCACTGGGAGGCACTGGGATGGACTGGGAGGGAGGGACTGGGAGGGGCTGCACCCAGCCTGGCCCGTAGCCAGACCCTGCGCTCGCAGTCGCTCGACAAGGAGTACTGGGAGGGCACTGGGAGGGGATTTGGGGGCACTGGGAGGGGATTGGGGGGCACTGGGAGAGGATTAGGAATGACTGGGATGGATTGGGAGGGAGTGGGAGGGAGTTGGAGGGGATTGGAGGAGGTTGGAGAGGATTGGGGGGCACTGGGAGGGACTGGGAGGGGATTGGGGGACACTGGCAGAGGATTGGGAGGGACTGGGAAGGGATTGGGGGACACTAGGATGGACTGGGAAGTGATTTAGGGGCACTGGGATGGGTTGGGAGGAGAATGAGAGAGAGTAGGAAGGGACTGGGAGAGGACTGGGAGGGACTGGGAGAAGATTGAGATGGACTGGGAGGGAATTGTGATGGACTGGAAGGGGATTGGGGGACACTGGGAGGGACTGGGAGGGGATTGGGAGGCACTGGGATGGACTGGGAGGGAGGGACTGGGAGGGGGCTGCACCTACAGCCTGGCCCGCAACCAGACCCTGCGCCTCGCCGTGGTCGAGAAGGGTACTGGGAGGCACTGGGAGGCACTGGGAGGCACTGGGAGGCACTGGGAGGGGGTTGGAGCAGAGTTGGAGGGACTGGGGTGCACTGGGAGGGAGTTGGAGGGAGTTGAAGCAGAGTTGGAGGGACTGGGGTGCACTGGGAGGGGATTGGGAGGGACTGGGAAGGGATTAGGGGGCACTGGGTGGCACTGGGAGGGGATTGGGATGGACTGGGAGGGGATTGGGATGGACTGGGATGGACTGGGAAGGTATTGGGGGACACTGGGAGATGATTGGGATGGACTTGGAGGGGACTGGGATGGACTGGGAAGGGATTGGGGGGCACTGGGAGATGATTGGGATGGACTGGGAGGTGATTCGTGGACACTGGGATGGACTGGGAGGGGACTGGGATGGACTGGGAGGGGAATGAGAGAGAGTAGGAAGGGACTGGGAGAGGACTGGGATTCACTGGGAGATGATTGGGGTGGACTGGGAGGGGCTTGGGATGGACTGGGAGGGGATTGGGGGGCACTGGGATGGACTGGGAGGGGATTGGGGGGCACTGGGATGGACTGGGAGGGGGCTGCACCTACAGCCTGGCCCGCAACCAGACCCTGCGCCTCGCCGTCGTCGACAAGGGTACTGCCAGGCACTGGGAGGCACTGGGAGGGGACTGGGAGGGACTGGGGTGCACTGGGAGGGAGTTGGAGGGGGTTGGAGCAGAGTTGGAGGGAATGGGAGGGACTGAGAGAGGATTGGGATGCACTGGGAGGGGATTAGGGGGCACTGGGTGGCACTGGGAGGGGACTGGGAACAACTGGGATGGATTGGGAGGGAGTGGGATGGACTGGGAGGGGATTGGGAGGGGATTGGGAGGCACTGGGAGGGGACTGGGATGGACTGGGAGAGGATTGGGATGGACTTGGAGGGGATTGGGGGGCTCTGGGAAGGAACTGGGATGGACTGGGAGGTGATTTGGGGGCACTGGGATAGACTGGGAGGGGACTGGGATGGACTGGGAGGAGAATGAGAGAGAGTAGGAAGGGACTGGGATAGGACTGGGAAGGACTGGGAGGGGATTCAGGGGCACTGGGAGGGGATTGGGGGACACTGGGATGGACTGGGATGGACTGGGAGGGAGGGACTGGGAGGGGGCTGCACCTACAGCCTGGCCCGCAACCAGACCCTGCGCCTCGCCGTGGTCGAGAAGGGTACTGGGAGGCACTGGGAGGCACTGGGAGGGGATTAGGGGTCACTGGGATAAACTGGGAGGGGATTGGGGGGCACTAGGAGGGACTGGGAGGGGGTTGGGAGGGAGTGGGAGGGAGTTGGAGGGGAGTGGAAGGCACTGGGAGGGGATTGGGAGGGGATTGGGGGGCACTGGGAGGGACTGGGAGGGAGTTGGAGGGGACTGGGATGGACTGGGAGAGGATTGGGAGGGACTGGGAAGGGATTGGGGGGCACTGGGAGATGATTGGGATGGACTGGGAGGGGATTGGGGGGCACTGGGAGAGGATTGGGGGGCACTGGGAGATGATTGGGATGGACTGGGAGGTGATTTGGGGGCACTGGGATAGACTGGGAGGGGACTGGGATGGACTGGGAGGGGAATGAGAGAGAGTAGGAAGGGACTGGGAGAGGACTGGGAGGGACTGGGAGATGATTGGGATGGACTGGAAGGGGATTGGGATGGACTGGGAGATGATTGGGGTGGACTGGGAGGGGCTTGGGATGGACTGGGAGGGGATTGGGGGGCACTGGGATGGACTGGGAGGGGGCTGCACCTACAGCCTGGCCCGCAACCAGACCCTGTGCCTCGCCGTGGTCTAGAAGGGTACTGGGAGGCACTGGGAGGGGACTGGGAGGGGATTGGGAGGGAGTGAGAGGCACTGGGAGGGGATTGGGGGACACTGGGAGGGACTGGGAGGGGTTGGGAGGGAGTGGGAGGGGGGAGTTGGAGGAGTGGAAGGCACTGGGAGGGGATTGGGAGGGGATTGGGGGGCACTGGGAGAGGATTGGGATGGACTGGGAAGGGACTGGGGGGCACTGGGAGGGGATTGGGGGGCACTGGGAGAGGATTGGGATGGACTGGGAGGTGGGCGTGTCCTGACGTGGCCCGCCCCTTCCTCCCTCCCCACAGCCGATCCTGATGTCCCGTGCTGATTGTGGGCGGGGTTTTCCTCACGGGTGGGCGTGGCTTATGATGAATGGGCGTGGCTTAAGATGAATGGGCGTGGCTTCTGAACCAGTGGGCGTGGCCTGAGCTCTTTCATCACCTCCCAACTCCTCTGCCTCCAGTTCTTATATGGGCGTGTCTTATACTGAGTAGGCGTGGCTTAAACTGGATGGGCGTGGCTTATGATGAATGGGCGTGGCTTGGGATGAATGGGCGTGGTTTATGGAGTCATGGGCGTGGCTTCTGAGCCTGTGGGCGTGTCCAGGGCCGCAATTACACCCCTTCCAACCCCCGCTGTGTGGGCGTGGCTAAACCTATCTGGGCGTGGCTTCTGATGAATGGGCGTGACCTACACAAAGTGGGCGTGGCTTAGGATGAATGGGCGTGGTTTATGAGCCTGTGGGCGTGTCCAGGGCCGCAATTCCACCTCCCAAAACCCACACTATGTGGGCGTGGCTAAACCTATCTGGGCGGGGTTTTTTGGGGGGTGGGCGTGTCCTGAGGTGGCCCCTCCCCCTTTCCCACCCCCCAGCCCGCCGTGACCTGGCGTCGATCGTGTCCGAGATCCTGATGTCCCGTGCTGATTGTGGGCGGGGTTTTTGTCACGGGTGGGCGTGTCCTTGGCTAAGTGGGCGTGTCCTGAGGTGGCCCCGCCCATTTTCACCCCCCAGCCCGTCGTGACCTGGCGTCGATCGTGTCGGAGATCCTGATGTCCCGTGCTGATTGTGGGCGGGGTTTTTCCTCACGGGTGGGCGTGGCTTAGGATGAATGGGCGTGGCTTCTGAACCAGTGGGCGTGGCCTGAGCTCTTTCATCACCTCCCAATTCCTCTTCCTTCAGTTTTTATATGGGCGTGTCTTATACTGAGTAGGCGTGGCTTAAACTGACTGGGCGTGGCTTAAACTAAGTGGGCATGGCTTCTGATGAGTGGGCGTGGCTTAGGATGAATGGGCGTGGCTTCTGAGCCTGTGGGGCGTGTCAGGGCACAATTACACCTTCAGCCGCTGTGTGGGTGTGGCTAAACCTATCTGGGCGTGGCTTCTGATGAATGGGCGTGGCTTCTGATGAATGGGCGTGGCTTAGGCTGAGTGGGCGTGGTTTATGGAGGCATGGGCGTGGCTTCTGAGCCTGTGGGCGTGTCCAGGGTCGCAATTACACCCCTTCCAATCCCTACTATGTGGGCGTGGCTAAACCGATCTGGGCGTGGCTTCTGATGAATGGGCGTGACCTACACAAAGTGGGCGTGGCTTAGGATGAATGGGCGTGGCTTCTGAGCCTGTGGGCGTGTCCAGGACCCCAATTCCACCTCCCAAAACCCACACTGAGTGGGCGTGGTCACACCTATCTGGGCGGGGTTTTCTCACGAGTGGGCGTGTCTTAAGATGAATGGGCGTGGCTTAGGCTGAATGGGCGTGGTTTATGGAGTCATGGGCGTGGCTTCTGAACCAGTGGGCGTGTCCTGATCTCGTTCATCACCTCCCAGCTCCTTCTCCACCTCTTCCAATGGGCGGAGTGGGCGGAGCTTGCAGTGGGTGGGCGTGGCTTTTTGGGGGAGGGGTGGGCGTGTCCTGAGGTGGCTCCTCCCCCTTTCCCACCCCCCAGCCCGTCGTGACCTGGCGTCGATCGTGTCGGAGATCCTGATGTCCTGTGCTGATTGTGGGCGGGGTTTTTCCTCACAAGTGGGCGTGTCCTGAGGTGGCTCCTCCCCCTTTTTTCCCCATAGCCCGCCGTGACCTGGCGTCGATCGTGTCGGAGATCCTGATGTACGTGCTGATCGTGGTGCTGACGCTCTGGCTGGCGGCCGAGATGCTCTACTGCTACCGCAAGGTGGCGGCCGCCGCCCCGCCCCCCGACAGCGCGTGAGTGGGGGAGGGGCCTAGCAGGAGGAGGAGGAGGAGGAGGGGGATGAAGGGGCAGGGCTTGAAAATTTGGGAGAGGTTTTGGGGAGGTGTGGGTTTTAAATGGGTGAGGGGCAAGGAGGGTTTTCGGGGGGGTTTTGGGGAGGATTGAAGGGGTTCTGGAGGCGTGGCTTTTAGATTGTGGGCGTGGTCTGTAAGGGGCAGTGGCCTAGGAGTGGAAGGGTGTGGCCTAAAGGGGCGTGGTGCAAGGAGGGAGGGGTTTTAGGGGGTTATAGGAGGAGTTGAAGGGGGTTTGGGGGCGTGGTTTGTCTGGGAGGGGCAGGGCTTGTAGGGAGGGGCGTGGCTTAAATATTTGAGGAAGATTGGGGGTGTGGTTTTTAAAATGGGTGGGGGGCTAAGCAGGGGTTTTTAGGGGGTTGGAGAGGAAGTTTGGGGGTTATTGGAGAGGTTTGGGGCGTGGTTTGAAGGGTGGGGGTGTGGTCTGAGTGGGCGTGGTGGAAAGGAGGCGTGGCCTGAGGGAGGGAGGGATTTGGAGAGGGAGGGGAAGGGATTTGGGGAAGTGATGAGGGAATATTAGGAATTTGGGGGCCTGGCTTTTAGGGGAGGGTGGGGCTTCAAAATTTAGGAGGAGGGTTTTGGGGAGTTTGGTTTTAAAATGGGTGGAGGGCAAGGAGGGGTTTTGGGGGAGGGTTGGGGGTAATGGGGGCATTGAAGGGGGATTTGGGGCGTGGCTTGTAGGGGGAGAGGCGTGGCTAAAAATTTGGGAAGGTTGGGGGCTGTGGGTTTTAAAAGGGTGGTGGGCAAGGAGGGTTTAGGGGCTTATTGGGGAGGTTTGGGGGGATTTGGGGGGTTGGGGGCAGGGTTTTTGAGGGTGTGGTCTAAAGGGGCGTGGCTTAAAAATTTGGGAAGGTTTTGGGGGTGTGGGTTTGAAATGGGTGGGGAGGCAAGGAGGGGTTTGGGGGATTGAAGGGTTTGGGGGCGTGGCTTGTAAGGGAGGGGCGTGGTTTGTATGTTGTGGCGTGGTCTGTGGGGGCGTGGTCTAGGAGTGGAAGGGTGTGGTCTAAAGGGGGCGTGGCTTGAGGAGGGAGGTTGGAGGGGACAGGGAGGAATTTGGGGGTGTAATAAGGGGTGTTAGGTGGGATTTGGGGGGCAATAAGGGGGTTATTGGGGGGATTGGGGGCGTGGCTTGTCAGGAGGGGGCGTGGCTTGTAGGGGGGAGGGCGTGACTTGAAAAATTTGGGGAGGTTTTGGGGTGTGGGTTTGAAATGGGTGGGAGGTTTGGGGGAAGTTTGTGGGGTTATTGGGGGGATTTGGGGGGCGTGGTTTGAAGGATGGGGCGTGGCTTGTAGGGGCGTGGCTTAAATATTCTGGAAGTTTTGGGGTGTGGGTTTGAAATGGGTGAGGTTTGGGTGGCAAAAGGGGTTATTGAGGAGGTTGGAGGGAAGTTTGGGGGTTATTGGGGGTTATTGGGGGTTTTAGGGGCGTGGCTTGTAGGGAGGGGCGGGGCTTAAAAATTTGGCAGGGTTTTGGGGGTGTGGGTTTGAAATGGGTGGGGTTTGGGAGGCAAAAGGGGTTATTGGGGGGTTTGGGGGATTGAAGGGGTTGAAGGGGTTTGGGGGCGTGGCTTGTAGGGGAGAGGCAGGGCTTAAAAATTTGGGAGGGTTTTGGGGGGGTGTGGGTTTGAAATGGGTGGGAGGTTTGGGGGAAGTTTGTGGGGATATTGGGGGGTTTGGGGCGTGGCTTGTCAAGGAGGGCAGGGCTTGTAGGGGAGGGGCGTGGCTTGTAGGGGAGGGGCAGGGCTTAAAAATTTGAGGAGGGTTTGGGAGGGTGTGGTTTTGAAATGGGTGGGGTTTGGGTGGCAAAAGGGGGGTTATTGGGGGGTTTTGGGGCGTGGCTTGTCAGGAGGGCGTGGCTTGTAGTGGGGGCAGGGCTTGTAGGGAGCGGGCGTGGCTTAAAATTTGGGAGGGTTTTGGGGGTGGGTTTGAAATGGGTGGGGTTTGGGGGGAAGTTTGGGGAGTTATTGGGGAGGTTGGAGGGAAGTTTGGGGGATTGGGGGGTTGGGGGCGTGGCTTGTAGGGGAGGGACGTGGCTTAAAAATTTGGGTGGGTTTTGGGGGAGTGTGGGTTTGAAATGGGTGGGGTTTGGGTGGCAAAGAGAGTTATTGGAGGGGTTTTGGGGGGGTTATTGGGGGGTTGAAGGGGTTTGGGGGCGTGGCTTGAAGGATGGGGGGCGTGGTTTGTAGGAGAGGGCGTGGCTTAAAAATTTGGGAAGGTTGGGAGTGTGGGTTTGAAATGGGTGGGGTTTGGGTGGCAAAAAGGGGTTATTGGGGAGGTTTGGGGCGTGGTTTGTAGGTTGTGGTCGTGGTCTGTGGGGGGCGTGGTCTAGGAGTGGAAGGGTATGGTCTAAGGGGGCGTGGTGCAAGGAGGAGGGGTTTTGGGGGGGTTATAGGAGGATTGAAGGGATTTGGGGGCGTGGTTTGTCTGGGAGGGCGTAGGCTTGTAGGGAGGGGGCAGGGCTTAAAAATTTGGGAGGGTTTGGGGGTGGGTTTGAAATGGGTGGGGTTTGGGTGGCAAAAGGGTTATTGAGGGTTGGGGGCGTGGCTTGTAGAGAGGGCGTGGCTTAAAAATTTGGGAAGGTTTGGGGGTGTGGTTTTGAAATGGGTGGGGTTTGGGTGGCAAAAGGGGGTTATTGGGGGGTTTTGGGGGTTATTGGGGGGGTTGAAGGGGTTTGGGGGCGTGGCTTGTAGGGGAGGGGCGTGGCTTAAAAATTTGGGTGGGTTTGGGGTGTGGGTTTGAAATGGAGTGGGGTCTGAGGGCAAAAAGGGGTTGTTGGGGGTTTTGGGGGGATTGAAGGGTTTTGGGGCGTGGCTTTTAAGGGAGGGGGGCGTGGTTTGTAGATTAGGGCGGGGCCTAGAAGCGGTGGGGCGTGGTCTTAGAAAGGAGGGGGTTTTGGGAGGGGTTTTGGGGTTGGGATGAACTTTGTGGGGTATTGGGGGGATTTGGGGGCGTGGCTTGCAAAGTGTGGGCGTGGTCTAAAGGGGGTGGGTGGAGTCTAGGAGGGGCGTGGTCCCGAAGGAGGAGGTTGGGGGAAAGTTTGGGGGGTAATATGGGGGTCTCCAAGCCCTCCCTCCTCCCTCCCAGGTCGGAGCACTTGGCCATCACCTCGGAGAGCAAAGAGAACTGTGCGGGGGTCCAGGTGGCAGAGTGACTCCTGGCACCCCAAAACCCCTGGACCCCCTGACCACTCTGAGCCCCCCTGGACCCCAAAACCCCTGACCTCCCAGACCCCTGGACCCCCAAGTCTCTCTGATCCCTCTGACACCACCCAGACCTCCCTGACCTCACCCAGACCCCCTAAGTCTCTCTGACCCCCTGGACCCCCAAATCTCTCTGATCCCCGTCTGACCCACCAGACCTCCCTGACCACTCAGACCCCCAAAACCCCTGACCCCTGGACCCCCAGACCCCCAAAACTCCCTGACCCCCTGACCACCCTTGACCCCCAGACCCCCAAAAACCCCCTGACCCTCCCCAAAATCCCCTGAACCCCCAGGACCTCCTGACCTCCCAAAACTCCCTGACCCCGACCCCTCCAAAAACCCCTGACCCCACCCAGACTCCCCAGACCACCTGATCCCCAGACCACCCTGACCCACCCAGACCTCCAAAACCCCCTGACCCTCCTGACACCTCTGACTTCCCAAATCCCTCTGACCCCCAGACCACCCTGACCCCCAGACCCCAAATCCCTCTGACCCCCCCCTGACCACTCTGAGCCCCCCTGGACCCCCAAATCTCTCTGACCCCCCTGACCACCCTGACCCCTCCCAGACCACCCTGACCCTCAGACCCCCAAAATTCCCTGACCCCGGACCCCCAAAATCTCCTGACCCCCTGGACTCCCCCAAATCCCTCTGACCCCTGGACCCCCAAAAACCCTCTGAGCCCACTCCTGGACCCCCAAATGTCTCTGACCCCCTGGACCCCCCAAAAAGCCCTTGGACCCCTGGACCCCCAAATCCTCTGACCCTCCTGGCCCCCCCAAAAAAACCCTCTGACCTCCCAGACC